ATGCTGGTACTCAAAGAAACAGATTGCCAAGTAAAACTGGCTTGTTTGTTTTTGGGGCTTAATTCCCTTAAAGGGTTGTAATTCTTTATTGGGACTTGGAACTTAAATTTTGCGTTCTTTTGTCAGATTTAGTGGGATGCAACAATTACTATTATATTTATTACCATCGACTAGCTCAGATACACTACAATCCCTCTTGCTTTCCGGGATGCTTACTGCAAACCTCTCCCGGATTCGTCGTACGAACTCCTTTAAACTCCTTCTAGGTGGGTATATTTACTTGTTCAAAAAAAAACCAACAAACACTAGGCAAAATTAACCAGTATATTGACTGACAATTAAAATACGAATTGGTCACCGAATAGGCTTTTCCTTTCCAGGATTTCTTACAAAAAAAAACACTCTATTTGCTAGAAATACCTCCTAGTGAGATATAATAAAAAAAAAATAGGTGGCCACCCTACCGTTGAAACTCTTATTATAAAGCAAAAAATCCACCTATTAACGAAATATACACATACCTAATCCTACGTAAATCTACAGACATGAACTGAATAACGAACTTATAACTAACCTTGACCAATCCTGCAGTTGGGCTCAGCGAATTGGTTGACCTCTTAACTCGCGTTATCTTCTGGGCCCGTCGCGTCGTTTGGTTACGATGAAATACAATGCGTTGCCTATTGTCGGTGTGATCATGGGCAAGTAAATAGTGGTTACCCCGGTGGTCCGGGGAAAAAGTCGACACTTATTGCTTATGCTCGAAACGATTTCCAGTGAGCACCTTTACCGCACTAAAATCACCGATTCTCACCGTATCGACCGCCCTTTACTAATCACTTCTTAACCAATTTATTTATACCTCGACCCGTACCAAAACCCTTTGCCGGACGCGGAACTTAACAATTTAATTTAGGTACCGGGTAGCGCCTTCGCGATGTGCCACTTTCTGACATTCACCAAATAGTTCCCGGCGTCTGTACTTCACCGGAAAAATTAAGCAAAACCTATATTATCGGCGGCGTGGTGACTTCCACGATCGCCGCGATAATTCTCCTCTTTACTTTCAAACTATCCCCCTGTGATTTTCCTTTTGACACGCCCGAATTTTACCACGCGCCCCAAAATCTCCAATTAACTTTGAATTCCTTGAGGCCGAATCGCCCTGATTGGTTCAAATTAAATTACAATTCTCCGTCCGCTTTACCACAAAAAAAAATTCCCTTTTCCAGGAATCGCCGCTGTTAGCGATCGATACGGTTCGATTCGAATTATATATGGGACATAGTATAAATGAGCCCTGTTAGTTTCGGTAATAAATAGCAACCAAAAATTAGAGAATTAATTAAGCGACAAAGGACCTCTTGACGCCCCCAATAGCAAAGTCTAATACATACCCGCCTAGATCTGACACTTTATATTTTTGGTTCAGGTCGATTTACTCAGAAATGCTGACACGGGGTTGTTTATGTTGTCTTATTGGTTTTAACGTAACTGTCCCATGACCGGTGGACACACGTGTGATGTTATTGCCGGACCCTTTTTTTTTTCGAATTCCGTAAAATCTATATTCTAACCTACGCTAAAGTATCTACTAAATTGAACTAAACAAAAGAAAACAATTTAACCTATCTAATCTACCTAATGAATATACACGGGGCGTTACAACTGACATACGCCACCGATTGACTTCGAACAACGTTGCCAAACTTCTCAGCATGGCTTGAATATTAGACCGCTGTGACAGTAGCCAGCCATGCGAAAAAATATTTCACCAAACACGATCAATGACAAGTACATAGTAACCGATGGTGAACTTCGGACATGCTTGAATTTCACCCAAAGACTAAAAAGATCCAAGCATAAATGACATCATAGTGATTTCAATATGTATTGTGTGTATTAAAATTTGAGTATTTTCCAATCAATCATCAATATTTAATTTTTATAATGTTTCTTGTGATATTTTCACGGTCATTTTTATCAAAAATGTTTTTACTGATTAAACAGATGTAAAAAGCCTAACGTAGATGTAATATTATGCTATTAATATTTAATACGTTCTTTACAGATGATTTTGTTTTTCCTCGAGAAGAAAACAAGAAACTTGGCTGTAATTCTGTTGGCCAAAATGAAGTACTTCCAAGTCATGAAATTATTAAGGGTACACTTGAAAAGGCAAAATGTGATGCTTTAACAAAATCAAGGGAACTAGACATGAATCTTTCGGAACCAATTCAAAATACAGCATTAGAACAAACCGATTTTATTCTGTCCAAAGACTTGCAACAAGATCACTCTGAAGAATATTTTGAATACAAATGTCCTGAATCAGAAGATGCTTTGTCAAGCCCAAAATAATGTATTCAATGAAGATACCATTGAAGAGCTGAATGATATGGAAGAAGAATTAAATTCGCTTTCCAGCTACGATTCACTGAATACCACAGACTACACTGGTCGCAATTCGAAAACATTAGACCCTAGTCTCGATCCTAGCCTTTTAAAAATAAAAATCAAGGACAAAAATTTGTTGGTGAAAAAATCAACACTGTGCTGGCTGTTTTCCGATAAAAAAGGGAAGTTATCCTCGGATAGAACTCTCAGATGCTAAAGTATGCAAAGTTCTCAGCAGAGTTGTTCAAAAATAGCAGCACCAAGTACGAATAGAACTAGAAATATAAAACTTCTGTCAAAAAGGGCCCCAAACATGAAAGATAGCGAAACTTCTGAAAGTGGAAGCTATTCAGAAAAAAGGGAAACGGAAAATGCGAGGGAAAATGAATGTTTTTCTGAAGAAGAGGAAAAAACAGGTTGTGATTGTCTTTAAAAGATGAAGAATACTATGCTGCTGCATACGATACATGGCACATTGACAGGATCATAGAGACTATAGATGGTGATACGTATAAAATGAAGTTTCTCAAAAGAGACCTTGATGATTACATTTGGCAAGAGCAAGATATTCAAATAGTTGCAAAGAAATATATTTTTTATGGTCCCAGTGGTCCCATTATTATTATTATTTTCGTCTTAGAAGGCAGGACAAGCTGAACATAGGGAATAGGTTCAAGATCTTAAAAAAAATGGATCTGTTTAACTTTGTTTTGAGGTTTGTTATTTCGTACCCACACACCATCTTTGAAATCCTTGAGAGAATACCATAGTCCATAATAAATATTTGTTTATATTTTTATTTGTGTGTATATAAGTACCTATGTTACCAACTAACTAGTGGCTAAAATGAATGAATATGTTTCCTGGTTAGATATATATGTCCGTGTCTAGTAACTTGAGCAGCTACCAAACATCTTTCTTAGTCGCCCAAAATCGCCTACAATCATCTGCAATCATTTACAATCATATGCAATCACAATGCAATCCTCTAAAATCTGACAATCGCGTCGCAATCCCCCTCGAGGATATCTATGGATGTTCGAGTATATCCGAAGATATCTCGGGATATCCGAGGTTATCTTGTCTAAAAACTAGGATATCTGGTGTACACAATTTTATGACAGGATGCCCCCTCGGGTAACACTGTCGCGAGTCTCGTAACATAAAAAAAGAACTAAATGAGTAGGTATATGTGTCAATGAAGGAGGATATTTCACTATGTGTTGAATTCCGAGCATTTCCCTAAACTAAAATGATGAAATGGTTAGTGCCATCCACTGGCTTAAAAGTTAAATGCATTAAACCGCATCTGGAAATCTACATAATTCAAGGGAGTTTTTTGAACTTTTTTGGAATAACTAGGTAGGTATGTTGATAATAAAATGTGAGAAGCATTCAACACCTTGTAGTAAGAATGTGCTGTGTAAGCAAATAGGGTCCACAAAATGAAATCAAGGTCCCGAGCCCATCTAGACACAGCACTGTGAACTAATCGCAAGGAATAAGGTATTACAATCATAATGGTTTCTGTCACCAATATTACATTTTAAGTTGCCTTCAAATTGAAAATATCAATTCAATTACTAAGAACAGACATAAATAGCTAGCGGCAAGCTCAGGGTATACAAATGATCTAATGTAAGGTGTGCGTAAACCAACCCCCTATTAAAACTATCATCTTTAGCATAGAAGCACAAGTGTACTACATACTGCAATTATGTGCATTAACCTACTACAACTCTTGTGATCGAGAGTAGGTATGTAGCTTAGTTGTAACTTTGAATAAATCTACAAATAATAAAACAACCACCTGCACCACAGTGCAAATTTGTCACACATTTCACGGAACTGATCCACTTCTCAATGAAACTAATAATACAGCAGGTGACATTATTGACTATGTGATTCCTTCCACAAGAAGAAATCCACGAGAATTGAAAAGAAAAATGTTAAAAGAAGGTTAAACATTGGGTCAAATTAATCAATGGAAGACATAGTGCAAAGTTTCGCTTAATAAATAGTAAACCATGCGATGTACTTACATTTCTTATTACAATCTTCAATGTTCAGATTCTTAAAATTAATAGCTGCACAATTTAAATCAAAACAATACACCCACTTAAGTTAATTGGTCATTAAAATGTCAAAGCTGCCATATTTAATTTTTTTATAGATCGCGGTGGCTAAAGTATCGTGATATGTATATTGTTTCTACATATTCAGTTTGTACGTGTGCCACATCTTTTACATAGGCAACACATCGTACATTTAGATGGATTGAAATAAAAGTGGCCTAAACCTTGGTCAATTTCAAATCAATTTTTTATCATTGACGTGTAAATAATTGTTATTGCAATTTGTCTTACAAATAAACTTATGGATTGCGAGAAAATACATCTACAAATTAGATTTTCTGTACAACTAAATTATTATTCAGTTCCTTCATACAATTTCTAAAGTCATTTGTAGTTTTTTTAAGATTGTCAAAGACTCCTGTTAACGCTTGTAGATATAAATGCCTAAACGTGTATAATCTTAATTTTATAATTCATGTCCACTGTTCTGTGCAGGTAGACAGTTTCGAAAAAAAGCGACGAGTCAAAAGGTGGCAAGAATTTACCACTGGCGAAAAGTAACGCCTGCAGCAGGATGCTCCTCATGAGCGCACCCAACCCCGTAAACATCGCTGCTGCCATTGGTGAAGATTTGAAACGACCGCCACCAGCAAACCCGCCAAATTTAACCGATAACAATCCTTAACAGCACCGGGCTAAACCTTACTCTTGTGTCTATCGAAACGGCAGAACTACCACCTAATGAGGTCGCTTAATGTGAAATTTTTAGATTACATTTACCAACTGGATACAACCCCTAAATTTTCAATGAACCTCCGCGAAACCCTATCAATTAATTTCTGAAGGGTTACCACATCGAGGGGTGAGTGGGTACCCTGTTTATAAGGAATTTGAACCCCTGCAAATTGACATTTTGCCATTTTTCTCAAAAACTTGAATTTTTACGATTCTTTTCCTCAAGTAACTATTCCTCGCATTGTAGTTTGGGTGTTATCAATAATAGCAAAGTAAACTCCATTTATCTTTAATCGCTACCGCATTATTCGAGCCACCAAATGCAACCCTATGATAGAAACTATTTTGGATCCTTCAAAACGACACAATTCAAATTCGTCCATATGCAAGAAGCACAGATTAAGGAGGATATCTAACGTGAAGACGTGCAAAAGAAGAAGCCAAAAATCCGAAATTTTACACAGTATCCCATTAAAAGAAGCATGAGAAGAGAAAGGGAAGTCTGTTAATAAAAGAGTGCAGCAAAAAATAGTTGGAAATACATAGGGTTGCCAACGGATCAGTTTTAAAGAGAACTTTTGAGAGAACATTCTCTATCTTTTTTATATATACTCAAGTTGTTCTCTTTTTTAATTTCGCCATCGAGAACGAACCAACGTGCAACGTTTTAACTATTTTAAATTTAGGTCTTTACACAAAAACACGTGAAATTGCGTTCTCGTGCAAACATCATCACTCCACTCTTATTACCGTGAATTTTTTTGCAATACTTGGCCATGTTGAAAGAATATTTTCAATAATCGGTGCACAGGGGAATAAAAAAATAAATAAGCTGAAAATTTTCCGTTCGAAGTATTTTGAGTGTGGTTATAATCATAAAAATGTTTCATCTTTAGAATTTTATAAAAAAAGAAATAAATGGAAATGATAAACCAAATTAGCAGTACAGAGAAATATAACGAAAAACATGATGAAAATGAAGTTGAATAAATAGAACGGAAGCCAAAACGATACCTAATATTCAAATCAATTAATATCAACCAGATCTTTTGTTTTAAGAAGTTATTTTAGTTGCATAAAATTAGGCGCCCTTCAGAAGAGATTTTGTCATTTAAAAGTAGGCATAGTGAAAAACGACATACGTAAATCCCAATGGCTACTTCTTAAATAGCACTGTTTATCCAGTAAATAGGTTATTAAGGTTTTAATTGAGGTGTTTAATTATTACCTTTTAGACCAAAAAAGGAGTGGGAGTCAAACAACAGGTGAACAAAAGTCTTATTTATTGTTATTGATTTTCACCGTACACAACTACAATGTGAAGAAGTTGAAAATATAAATACCATACCAAACAGTGCTCAATGCCCCGCTCAACAAAAAAGTATCGAAAAGGGGTCAAGAGGGACTAAAACAAAACAAAACTTCACCGAGCATGATGCTAGTACAAGCAAGGATGATGGGGAAATTTCTAACTCTGTTACATCGCCAAAGTTTCAAAGAATTGGTAGCTAAAAAAGTTTAAAAGTGGTGACAAACAAACAACAGGTGCGGAAAAATCTTACTTCAATTATTGTAACTTAACACATTTCTTTGCAGGAATAGCCAAGGTAATAGCAATGTGTGACAACGATGAGAACAATATTATATTCGATAATATATGGTAGACGAGATCCCATACAATACAATAAGTATGTATTGTTAAATTATGAATTAGTTTTGTTTGTTTGTACATTCATGGTTTTAGAAATTATGGACCATATTTCATTGATCCTGAGGAAACTAGACGAGATGAATGTGAAAAACGATGGTAGGTGTATAGTAGCTCGTGCAGTGGAATACGACTGAAACTAAATTTCAATAATTCAGAATTTCAACGAAGGGTGTTTCGACAGCAATTTATAATAGTTACAAAGTAAATTAACTGATTTGGAATCTCAGTTAGTCACCCTGTCCACGGCAAATGTAAATTCAAAAGAAACCTCCAACGACTTTGTTACGAATTACAGTTTCGACGGGGCAAAGGGTAAACTTAAATTTAAACCTTTGAAGCTGTATGAATTATTATTAGGTAAGGTTTGGTAATATTACAAATTGATCAGCTCATCCCAGTCAACATGTAACTCTCAGGTATAGCTGAAAGAGCTCTACTAAGTAACATTGATATGTTACAGTTGTAACTGAAATTATATGTAGGTAACATAGAGGTTGGAACGTTCCATACCAAACACGTAATAATTACTTACATAACTGAAAGGGCTCCAGAACTTAACAAAGTTATGTTACAATTGTAACCGAAATGATATGTAACACAGAAGTTGGAATGTTCTATACCAAACACGTAATAATCACTTACGTACCTGAAAGGACTCTAGAAGGTAACAAAGTTATGTTGTTACAATAACATACTACCCATGAATGTGCTTCAATTAGTAACGTGGCAAATTCCACACTTTCGTGTTCGTTAGAGGCAATTAATGTTGAAAAATTGTCAAGTTCCGAATTGATAAATAATATTTAAAGTAAGCAACAATTATTTTTTACACCATGAAAACTGTTTTGGTGGGAACGCAGTTTGTCTTATAGAACTTTCTTTTAGATGCCGTTCGGCAAACTTTCCCCGACACTAGCGAAAGTGCCATTGAATTGGCGGTGGGTGAGTGGTTACGCTTAAGCAAGCTGAGACAGTCAAGAGAAAAACCTCTCCAAAATCAATAATTTTATTATATATTATTAATGAATATTGGAAATGTATCTATTGTGATAATATTCGACGTTTTTAGGAATTGTTATTTTGTTTTATTTTATAAGAATATATCTTTATTTTTCACTGCTGCATTTAGTTATATTTTACATTAGGGTGAAGTTACCTAAGAGTACGCACTCTCCCAAGAGTGCGCGAGTAATTTATTTTATAATATAAGGATTTAGAACACTACCTGACACCTACTTTGTAAATTATGAACTATTTAAAGATGGAGTGCACTAGTGCAGAAACAATCAGTCATCACGTGATTAGTTTTCCCGCGTTAACGGTGCATCGTGACAGACAGCAGTAAATATTACAATTTTATTTGTGTTCGAAGTAAGGCTTTGAGAGGTAAGTATCTGGATTAACTATACATATATAGCATGATATACTACATACATCAGTGCTTTATAGCTACACGCAGAATAAGGTGTAACTTGAATTTTGTTACTAATAAATAATATTAGATCAAAACAGGAAACCGATTCATTGTCTCAAGAGTACGCACACTTCTATTCCCAAGAGTACGCACTGCGCACTCTTGGGAATACCTAAGAGTTTAAGGTACCTACATCTCGTTTTTTTGCAGAGAATGACTAATTACTATGTGAGGAAGTCTGAGAGGAGACTTGCATTTACAGAAGACTTAATGCAAACAATTCGAACGGAAATAGAAAATGGTAAATCAAAACGACAGTTATCTAGAGAATTGAATATTCCCGAATCCACTATTCGGAAACGATTGAAACTTGGAACAGTCCCACAATCCTTAGGAAGATTTAAATGTGTTTTTAATAACGACATGGAAAATCAGTTAGCTGAATATGTAAAACAAATGGATACAAGGTTTTATGCGGTCTAACACGAAAAGATCTCAAACACATTGCTTTTGAATATGCTATTATGAATAATTTACCACATCCGTTTAACATGGACAAAAAAGTGGCAGGTGATAAATGGGTTAGACATTTCTGTAAGAGACAGAAAATGGCTCTTCGACAACCTGAAAAATGCTCTATGGGGCGTATAATGGGGTTTAATAAACCTCAAATAGAGAGATTTTTTTTAAACTTGAAGCAGTTGTATGTCAAATATAATTTCCCTCCTAAGCGAGTGTATAACATGGACGAAACTGGGCTTAGTACGGTTCCGAACAAACTACCTCGAGTAATGTGTGAGAAAGGAAAAAGAGCTGTTAGTAAAGTTGCAAGTGCGGAAAGAGGTCAATTAATAACGGCAGTGTGTTGTTTCAATGCAAGTGGTGAATACGTTCCCCCGGCATTAATTTTCCCAAGAAAGAGAATGAAGGAAGATCTGTTTAAAGATGCCCCAACTGGAACGCTGAGAATGATATCTGATTCTGGGTTTATTAACTCTGATTTGTTCCTTGTATGGATACAACATTTCAAATCGAGTGTTAAACCAAGTCCAGAAGAGCCAGTTCTCCTGCTGCTAGACAATCACGTATCTCACCGAACACTGGCGTGAGAATTTTATCCACCTCCTATCGCTTCCGCCTCATTCGAGTCATAGGCTTCAGCCATTAGATAAAGGATTTTTCGGCCCCTTAAAATCAGCCTATAGTGAGGTATGTGATAATTACCTTGTCACACATCCGGGTAAGGTTATCACTCAATCAGAAGTTGCCGGATTATTTCGGAAAGCGTATTACAAAGTATCAAACATTGAGAAGGCCACAAATTCTTTTTCCACAACAGGTATATCGCCATACAATCCTAACGTGTTTGGAGAGGAAGATTTTGCACCATCTGCAGTTAGTGATAAACCATATCTCAGCTCCATTGCATTGGCGAAAGAAGGTGATGATCCATCATTAAAGCACTCTATTCTGGTCAACTCAGAAGAACTGTCAAATGAGGAAAAAACCGAACACTCTGCGCAATCAAGAGTCGATTCCATTAGTAAGTCAGACAACCCAATAGTGGACACTGTTCCAGTGATAATTGAATTCCCAGACCAAACAAACGTTTCGAGGTTTGAGCTATTAAAATCACCGATTACAATCGACATGAGTGAAGTGCAGTTGGAAAATGTTCCCATTTCCAGCATAATATTAGAAGGCGAAAACCAAAAAAGTAATGAGATTGTGACACCATACCAAATTAGACCCTTGCCAAAAATGGAAACCTCCAATGTGAGACGGAGGAATGCCCAAAAGTCTGAAATTTTAACAAGCACCCCTTTCAAAAACTCCATTACAATAACACCGCCTGCACCACCTTCAAAAGCCAATTCTGTTAAGAGACGATTGCAGTGTGAAGTAGCAAACGTTTCCAAAATTGTGCCATCTACGTCCAAATCCTCTAAGAAGTCCAAAGAAAAAGAGTCAGTACGAATGTCACAAACAGAGACACCAGAAGAGGATGTATTTTGCCCAGGTTGTGATGAAAAATTTGTGGAACCGCCCGATGAAGATTGGATACAGTGCTTAAAGTGTGCTCATTGGTGGCACGAAGCTTGCACGTACTATTCAGGAGGGCAATATTTGTGTGATTTTTGTAATTAGGGTCTTGCGCACTCTTAAGAACGTCACTGCGCACTCTTAAGGCGCACTGTTCCCAAGAGTGCGCAAATGCCACTCTACAAATATGTTTCGTTTTGTTGTAATTACCATTTATTAACATAATATAGTATTTAGTAAACTAAAGTAAATATAGTATGTGTCCGTTTTTCAATTTGTTTAAAGGTGCAGTACAAAATGGATGCCTAATAATGTCAATAAAATGTTAAGTGCGTACTCTTGGGCAACCTCCCCCTACTGGTAGCCTTCAGTTGCGTTACATACAACCCCCATGCAACATAATGTTACATATAACTCTCGCCAGGAAATATTGCCGATGTACAATCTCTGTTTTTCGTAAGGTGCTAGCGACTTCCGGGATAGTATCGTGTCAATGTTTGAACGAAAAGACTTTTGTTTAACATTAGCACCATCCTATTCCACAAGTCGCTTGCATCTTAATAAAAACAAAGATTGTAAATTGACACAAGGTGTGCTGTGACCGGCAATCTTTCCTGGCGAGAGTTATATTTGCTTAAACCTTCAGTTGCATTACATATTACTCTAATATAATGTATGTTTGTATATACGATACATAACTGGATTATTTGTTGTAACATTCCGTTGTGTTACTTATTACGTTCATGTAACATATAGATACCTACATGTATGTTACATAGCGTGACGTATTCGTTACGTTACACCGTTACAGTGCTAGGCGTTCTGTGTTACTTGCATGTAACATTTAAGTTACTAGATACATAACGAACTACTAGTTAACTATTATATTTATGAATCGGTTACGTTACAATGTTGACTGGGAATATGTACTATTTTTCCAGCATCAATTCGCAGCAATTTAAAAACAGAGAATGCTACGGAAAGCGATGTGCTACCGGAGTTAAGGCAATGGTTAGCTCAGGCCAAATTCAGGAAAAGGAAGTAGTCGATTTTATTATTACATACAATGTATTATTTTTTAGATTTACCGTTATTGGTTTCTTATTAATAAGTAATGTATGGTTTAGAATAAATGTTGCATAAATATTACACAAAGATAAATATGCTTATTTATACAATATTGGCGCACGAACGTTTATAAAAGATTTATCCCATAAAAGTGGGACAAATGTTATACTGATATTATGGAAACATTTATGTAATAATCTTAAACATTTTAGAAATATGTTTGTGTTATGTGGGTTCCAGGGCTACCTTGTGAGCTTCCTCATTACCCTGTATGCCCACATGACTGATAAAATGATAAAAAAATACACTCCACTCTAGTCAGGGAGGTAGTGCAAAGGGCCCGACTTTAAGGCCTAGGTACGCGTGGACCCTGCCCACCCTCCTATCATAATCCAGAATCAAATATTAAGTTAATACACTACTTATATTTTTGTGTTAACATTGTAGATTGTACATCGAGCAGTGCGGCGCAGAGCAGCGCGGCGCGGCGAAATGCTGCTCTCGATTGTTCGCATGTAAATAAGTGGATCCGTTTTCACCTAGGCAGAGCGGTGCAGAGCAGAGCGGCGCGGTGCCGCGCAGCAAATTTGAAACGCGTCGGGAAACATTGGAATACGCGGCGCTGCTTTGAAACGCGCCGCTCTGCGTGTAGACGGACAAGTGGGAATCGAGGAGCGAAGTAGATCGGCGTGGTGCTGCGGCTTGTGAAAAGCATTTATTTATCTTTTGTGTTGAGCTTGCGTGTGTTAGTAGATTCGCTATGGACGGAGAAAGAATAGAAAAATTAATTGTACTCGTCCGCTTTCTTTTTCTTCTTTTTTCGTCGTGTACATGGCATAGTGATGGCTCTTCTTTCGAGCGTGTAAGAATACATTCTCACTTAAACCTTTGAATATATTATATTCAAAGCTTAAACTGATAAACATAAACGCTGCTTCGCCACGCTTCCAAATGCTGCATAAGTGGGAATACCCCCTACAATTTGCTGCTAGCGCCGCGCCGCTCGGTGCTGCTCTAATGAGAATCGACCTTAATCGTCAAGATTTTTCTTGGTTGAGATGCCAGAGCTATCACCTACCAAATGCAGTAGTTAAGGCTTCGAGCGGAGAAAGTGGTCAGAATCGCGCCTTTCAACATGAGTTAGAAAATGCGTTAAAAAATGGACGTAGTAGGTACCCCTAGGTACTTCTAAGTTAAATTTCTATTAGTGGAACACCAAATGACAGAGGCGCAAATAAACAAAAATTCATTTTATTATGGAGTAACCAACAACTTCGAAAAAGTAAATTTAGCAGTAATTTTCATATAAAAAAAGGGGCAAAATATTGAAGTGAAATTGAATTTAATCCCTGGACTCAAGAAAAATTGGAATGCATGGCGAAGGGCAAGTATTATTAAAATACCAAATACATATGACTGTAATTCTAAACCTTAGACATGGCAAGACTTAAAAAAAAATGGCAAGAGAAAGAAAAGCGAGATTAAGTAGTCTGCAAAAGGTACTCTAGTAGTTATCCC